AAAAAAAAAAAAAAAAAAAAAAAAAATCGATAAAATTGCTTTCAAGTTATGTGTTTAAGGTGTATGTGAAATATAAATAAATTTCATGTTTAGACTTGGCTTATCCCCAAGATACCTTATTATGTATGTGTGAATGTCCCAAAATCTGAAAAAAACAAACTAAAATCTGTGGAACTCTTCTGGTTTCAAGTATTTCAGATAAGGAATACTCAACCTGTGTCACCTGCCATCTCATTTGGTTCCTGCAGAGCAGTTACTGTATCTAAGTGGTATTAACAGTGTTTAGAACTTAGCAAAGAGACACTGATTTAGTTTGAAAATGCAGACAGTAAAACTGAGATGATTTTTACTTAAAAGGCAGACTCTACCCCTAAGTCTTCAGAAAAACTATCAGTTCTCAGATTCTCTAGCCCAAAACTCTTTAGGTGGTAGAAAAAAATTGTCCCTGGACTACTTACTTCTGCTTAAAAAGTATATCTCACCCATAACCTCAGTAGACAGTATTTTTGGACTATTTGTCTGTCACACTGTTGCCCAAGTATTCTTCTGAGATTAAACCAGTAGGGACCAAACTAAGCAATTTTGAAGTTATCAACTAACCATGGAGAGGGAGTTTGTATTAGACCACCACAAGGAATTCCCTAAGGCAGGTACATTTATGATGAACATCAACACAGACCTCATCAAGCCCTTTAATGCATTTAATTTCTTAAAGGCTAGTATGTGAAGGTGGTTTTCCAAATGAAAGTCCGTAGCCAAAGTGAATCCAGTCATGACTTGAAGTCATGTAGACAATTGCCTCATCTTAAGCACTCTTCCCTGCACTGAACAGAACAACTTTATTTACATTCTGTGAGAAATAGAAAATGGGCTAGATATTTAAAATGAATTAGCTATATTTCTATGCTGTGTGCCAAGTCTTCCGGGTTTGGAATCAAAACCCGAAGCCATAAGGCTGGGTACTATCTGTTCCCTTGACCTTATGGTCATGTTCTACTACATGTTCTATGGTCATGTTCTGTTCTACAGAAGGGGCTTGTAATGACTTTTTTCCTCTTCCAAAATTGTAATAAAACGACTCAAGTCAAGTCAACTTTATGATTATTCACTTTTATAACAGGTAGAGACACTTGGATCAGGTCTTCCCTTGTTTTGAGCCTGGAGGTTGTCACCTTTGCTAGCAATGTTTAAACAGCAGTTTATTGTACTAAAAAGTCTTAATATTTGGCAGCTCTACTGAACTTGAACTTTATACATGCTTTAGGTATCTGGGGACTCAGGCCATAAAAGCAAATAATCAAAATGACACAGGACAGGCATGTAAATGCCACATAAACTGGGTGAGACGATGATTCAGGGAACAAAGCTACTCCAGACTTCAAGAAACTGTCACTGCCAAGGAGGGCTTGGCTGGTGACCTTCCTTTATACAGCCCTTGCTCACATGAGAGAGCAGCAGTCTTTGATAAGGGTTGCTATCATCGTCATACCTTTACTGGCGCTATGTGGATGAGCCAGGTTTACTTTCCATGCCTTCCAGTTTCCTACCTCCAGGTCTATTACTACCACCAGCAACTCCAACCCACTTCCCACCATGAGAGAAGTTTCTTTCTACTCTTAGGCTAATAGTTGCTGGCCATATCTGAAGAGCCCTCACAAAACCTTGGTTCTTTTAGACTCTGGCCTTAAAGAATATATCATACCACAGACCTTAATCTTGACTACCTAGGCTGGAGGAAAATGTCCTAGAATCCTCAGGAACTGTGCAATCAGGTATACCAACTTCTCATTAACCTTAAGTTCCTTGCCAGAGTCTCAGTGCTCACCTGCCTTGTCCAGGAGTACTGTGAAACAGCACCATGTGCCAGTGGGGAGAAGGGGAAGTGGAGAAGCTCCAGGGTAGAAAGTGAGCTCACATGCCCTGAGACTTTGAGCTTAAGACAGATGCCAGCAGGGGTCGGTTTAGGGTCAATATCTGTCTTGGTCCAAATTTCCTCCAGTTCTGAAAGAATCTGCCTCCTTTCCTTTGAAGATTTTAAGTTTGCATGAGTTTCTGTTTTGCCATTGTTCAAGGCATGAAAAATATTTCACATGTGACAAAGTGAAGAGGATCCTCACCTGCCTAATACAAGGTGAACGTCTGGCCTTGACTAACTCATTTCAGCAGTTTAGGTGCATTCCTAGCATTCTACAAGGTTAAGTTCACCTCTAGTGGAAGGGATATGCAGCAAAAATGAAACTTTTCTATCACCTTCCTGGATAATTGTCCCTTTTTCTGGTGTACCTTAGTGTTTTGAAATGTTACAAAAGGCATAATGCAAGTCATGGCACTATTCTGAGAAATCGTTTAATAAGTTAGTATTACTCATCCATTAATGATTAATGCTAGCGTTTGTAAACTCTTGTAAGCAAAGCTTTTCTAGGCTCTCAGACTTGTAACACATCAGATTCCATGTTCACTACACACTCGTCCTCTTTAAAGAGTCCAGGCAGGAGAAGGCATTTGCAAGAACAACCCATAAGAGCCTGTGGAGTCTCACTTTCCCTTGAAACTAACACTTCCCATGCTGCTCACTTAGGAGTCCGCAGAACCATGTGACCAACCTAAACGTGATCGCACCGCCAACCAATCGCAGAGGGCCGAAAGGCCAGTCCCAGTTCACACGCTCCGGACAGTGGCAACCAAAGGGCAGGGGCATTCGAGACATAAAACCCCAGGCTTTGCCAGAGAGGCTCCTTGACCACATACTTTAAAGTTCCCTCTCACTTCAGGAGCACGTGACTGCAGGCAGGTTGAGCCCCCTAAGCCACCCGGTGACGGGAACTAGGGACTCTGGAATCGGTATTTCAGGCTGGGGCGGCTTTCTGTCCCAATTCCCTGCAGCTGGCAAGCAAACCCCTTGGCGTCATATCTGAAGATCACTTCTGGGACGCGCTAGGATTCTGACTGAGTCCTCTTAGAAGGGCTTCCTGTGGTTTGTCCCGGAAAGTTATGAGGCCCCAAGTGGGAGAGTGGCTGAAGACCATGCAGGGGCCCCCAGGCGCCTGCGGCAGACTCTAGGGATCCGACAGTGGTCACCACCGCCCTTCCCAAAAAGACAGGGCCACACACTCGCTCTCGCGCTGCTCCTTTGATCTATTGTTTAGAATGAAGGCTAATTACAGTCACTAGCCTAGGACTCAGTTCCTCTCGAGGAAACGTCACCGGGAAGGAGGATCAGCAAACTAACCTGATTAAGTCTTCCTTCCACTCCACCTCCCAGTTCAGCTGCACGAGAGACCCGAGAGGTTTCCAAATGCCGACCAAAGTCCCGCGTAAAGCCCCGCTCCTCCCCTACCCCGCAAGAGGGAGAGGCGGCCCCGAGCCGGGGGAGTCGCAGTCTGGGTGCGCATGCTGCGCACTGCCCGCGGCTCCACGGAGCCTCCCGGCTGCCGCCCACCGAACGTGCGCCCGCTCACGGCCACCGGAGGACTCCGAGCCTGGGCTGGCACCTGGCGCCCCGCGTCCCCGGAGGCGCACACCTTCGCCCACCGCCCGCCCCCACACTCCCCGAGGTCCGAGGGGCGCACCCCGGTCTGCCGCGCACATCTCGGCCCTCTGCCTCCTTCCTAACACTCCGCCTGGCAGAAGAGGCAGAACCATTGTTCAATGCTCAGAAGCTCACATTCCTCAGCGCCTGTCAAGGGGGCGAGAAACGAGGCAAAACAGGGGCTTTGGGGGCCGCGGTGTGAGGGATCGAAGACTTGTTCGGGAGAAACGTCAAGACACCCCAAACCCCACTGTCCCCCAAGCCCGGCTCCCTTTGGCCGCGGCGCTGACAGCTCAGAGGCGCCACCACGGTGGGGAGGGAAAGAAGAAGAGGAGAGCCGAGAGGTGCCTCCTAGGAGACGGGTGGGCAGACGGAGACCTGCGCCTCGGGGTCCCCCGGTGCCCCAGCTGGGTCCGGGCCGCTGGCGGAGGGGCGCGTCCTTACTCACCGGTTCCGTTGGCGCAGCTCTCCCGGGGCCCCCAGCACAGCGCGAGCAGCAGCCAGAGCGCCCAGCGCGCGGACGTGCCCATGGTGCCCGCCTGGATGGTGCCGATGGTGCCGCCGCCGCCGCCGCCGCCGCCGCCGCCGCTCGCTCCGCACAACAAGTTACCAGCCCTTCCGAAAGGAGGAAGAAGGTGGGGGCGGGGAGGGGGAAGGGGGAGAAGGAGGGGGAAGGAGTTGGGGGGGAACGGAGCGGGGAAAAAGAGGGCACCCCCTCCCCTACAACTTGCACAATCTCCTCCCCGCCAGCCAACCCACCCACCCACCTCCCTGGGCTGCAGCAGCAGTGCAAGCCGAGCCTGCGGGCAGAAAATAATGCAGGCGCTGCAGAGGAGTGGAGGGAAGGAGAGGGGAGGGGAGGGAGAGGGGGTGGGGAGCCGAGAGCAGAGGAGAGGACAGAAGAGACAGGAGCCGGTAGCGGAGCACCCACACCGGCGGCGGCTGGAGCGCGGGGTGAGGAGCGCGGAGGGGGCAGGAGGGGGAGTGGTCAGCGGGCGGGCGGGCGGGCGCGCGGCAGCTTCAGCTCTCCTTTCCTTTGACGCGCTCCTCTTACACGCGCCGGGCAGCCGGGTGCCCGCGCCGGGAGTGTGCGAGTGTGAGCGTGCGTGCGTGAGTGGCCGTGGCCCTGGCTGCCGCCGCCGCCACCCGGACTGCTCTAGGGGCCCGGCTTCTCCGCGCGTCCGCCTGGGGCGCACGGGGGCCCGGGGCGGCCGCTGGTTGGCTCGCGCACCGCCCTCGCCTCCAATCCCCGGTGCCTGTCCTAATTTCCTGATCCAGGGAACCTGCCGCCGCCGCAGCTGTGCGCTCCCTACAGTCATTACAGTGCCCTCCCGGCAGCCGCCGACTGAACACGCAGCGGCAGCAGTTAGCGCTGATGCAACTCTCGCTGCTACTGCCACCGCCTCCCCACTAACGGGGCGTGCAGCTGGGGGGTATTTGCAGTTTCCAGGGGCGACAAGCATCTCTCTACCACCCTCTCCTGCGCCCATGAGAGAGGCTGGTAGGTAGCATCTTCTTCGGGCCTCCTCTTCACTCAGAAAGTGATGAAGCGGAGCGGAGGGGCTTGAAACGTTTGGGCTGCTCAAATGTGGAGTTCGGGCTGCCTGTGTCAGTAGCACGCTGAGGTGCCATTTTGCTAAAAACTAAATGTGTCTTTAAGTGAGAGAGAGTGTGTGTGTTTGAAAGAGAGAGTGCGCGCCGCTGTGGCCGGTCCTCTGCAATAGAACAAGACTAAAATAACCCAGCCTGGGATGAGGAGAAGGGAAATTGCTAGCGCAGCTTTGCATTCGCTCAGCAACGATTATAGTTAATTGCTAATTGCACAAAATGATAGTTTGAGGGCCTGTAATTAAAAGCTTAACCTTTTCTTGTTTGGAAGAGAGGGGCCCCATAGGTTTATTCTTCTTGATGTACTTTGTAACATTCAATTACAAGACTTAAGGAAAGAATAAAGGAAGCAAAGGCAAGACTTCTAGAAAGGATTGATTGTTCTTTTATGCCTGACAGTCCTTGAGCCTATAATTTGCTTTTTGTGTACTTCAGTTTTCTTGCACGCTTAGCCCCGGTTGAGGTGCATTGTCTGCTGTGGTCTGTTAAGCATCTAACCAGAGTGGGAGGGCACATCCAGCGATTCCACTTTCTTAAATAAAAGGTTTTTAGGTACTTTTAAAAAGTTGTTTTTAATCTTGTTTCAAACTTGGAAGAATTCAATAATATCATATTCTGAGTCTATTCTGTTGGTGATCTGAAGAGTAGGGGCCACTGCCTCCCTCTCTTCTCCTTGCCCTGCTTCTCCTGGGAATTTGTCAAGACTAGCAGTCAGGGGAGACATTTATTAGGAACTCTATATCCAGGAGACACACAGGAGAGGAAAGTTCCGAGTCAGGATATGTTTCTATGGGACCAAAGATACCCAGATCATGACTACTAAGCATGAAAGGGACTAACTCTAGGTATGGATGGGATCTTGCACTATAGCTCATTTTGAATGCTATTTTGCCTACCCTGTGGTTACATAGTTGATACAAACTGCAGCTGCCAGGCAGCCTTCATGTGAAACAACTAAAATTTGTTTTTATGATATTTAGTAGTGTAGATGCATGCCAGTGTTATTCACCTAATGGGTATTGAGATGTAATGAGAAAACCTCAGTGCACAATGTCTTTCATATTCTCAGGGTTCTGACGGGGAGGTGTCACTTTACAGAAGAGGAAAGGAGTACAGGGGATAAGTAGAATCAATACCAAAAGGGGCAGCGTTAATAAACAGTCATGTGACTTCTTTTTACTATTTTACTCAGAGAAATGTGAACACTACAAGCTAAACATTGATATGGTATAAGACTTATCTTTGAAAAACATGCGTGAGTATTTTCTAATTTGCCAAGGGATATAAGTAAACTTTCGGTGAACGTAGCTGCAGCTCTATGTTCAATTTTGTGGCTTTTTTGTTGACTCAGAAGAAAGCATAACTTTTGGCTCCATCTCTGATTGACTGTGTAACTTGGGAAAAATCACTGTGCCTCTTTGTGCCTGCCTTCCAACCTGTAAACTGAAAACAAAACCAACCCACTTGATATCAGATTGCTCAGTGGCCTCAAGGACCAGCTCTCTGCAAGGTGTTTATTAGAAGAAAAAGGTTGTATGGAGAAATGCATTTGATTATGATAGAAAGTAACTAATAACTGAAAAGATAAATTGATGATAAGTGGAGATTGAAGTGGTTTAACTAACTGAGCTAAATGATCCTAAGTGGAGATTGAAGTGGTTGAACTAACTGGATTCAGAGAATTTGACACTGCCGAATTCCCGATGCCTTCAGGTAAATGCAAAGAGGATCCCATTCACTCCTACAACCACCACATTCATTTATTTGTTGAAGCAACACGTATTGAGCATCCCTGACTAGCAGGCACTGTACAAAGTAGTGGGCAGATAGAAGTTCTTGTCTAGGAAGCTCAGCGTCTGGTAGAGGAGGCAGGCAAGTGGGCAGTTGTAGCACCCTGATTAAGAGATGCTTAAAGTGCTATAAGATTGCAAGGAAGAAGCAGCTATTCTGGCTGCAGGATCAGGGTATCAGAAAAGGCTTGACAGAGCGTTTGAGCTTTTTTTTAATATATCATTTTCACCCAGTAATCGGAGTTCTCCCTACTTCTGGACATATGGTAGGATTGAACATCCTGACCCCCTTGTGGTTGGATGGGGTCAAAAGACTAACCTTGGCTAATTCTTTGTGAGCCTGTGTTATAGGGTGCCATTTCCAGACTGGAGCATTTCATTGCTTATGTGAGACTCTCTTTTTGTCTGCATGGTGCCAGCAAACGTTTAAGAGGTGGCTGCCATGTTAGTCCAGGTCTCTGAGTGATTAGATTCATTTAGAACTACCCATGTGAGTAGTTCCTGCTGTCTATGTGTCTTTTGCAATAGTTAGAGGTTAGCAAACTAGGACTCACGGGCCAAGTCTAGCCAGACACCTGTTTTTGTATGGCCTATAAATAAGAACGATCTTTACATTTTAAAAGAGTTTTACAAAGAAGAGGGATAGTGTGCAACAGAGACCGTAACTTGCTCACGAAGCCTAAAATATTTACCACCTGGCCCTTTAGAAAAATTAAAAAAAAAAATTGCCCACCCCTAACATAGACCAGGTGAGAGAGTTGTAAATCGCTGTCATCTTCATCTACCGAGATTTTGTTACCTTGGCATAACCTGGTAATAGCCTGACTGATACATCAGGGAAGAAGGAAGGAAAACCATGATGAGCAGGGGGCACAAAGGAGCAGCATGTATTCAAGGCAATGGAAGGAATTCAGGGTGGTTCAAGGGTGGGGTTCAAGTGGACTAACGATGTGAGGTAAGGTTGAAGAAGAAAGGCAAGGACTAGATTAGCTGGAGTCTAGAGTGTCATGCTAAGGCTTTGAATTTTATCCTATGAGCCATGGTAAGGACTAGTGACAGATTTTGATCAGAGTCCTGATATCAAGTTTCTTTTACTCTGACAATGGTATGAAAAGCAACACGTTTAGCGTGTGGAATAGGGACAGACTAGAGGAAGAAACGTTAGTTAGAGGCCCCAGTAGTAAGGGAGTGCATTAAAGAAAAGAGAGGAGGCCGGGTGCAGTGGCTTACGCCTGTAATACCAACACTTTGAGAGGCTGAGGCAGGAAAATCACTTGAGCTCAGGAGTGCAAGACCAGCATGGGCAACATGGCAATCCCCACAAAAAATACAAAAAACTAGCTGGATGTGTTGGCACACACCTGTAGTTTCAGCTACTGGGGATGGAGGGGAGCCTGAGACAGGAGAATTGCTTGAGCCCTGGAGGGTGAGGCAGCAGTGAGCTGTGATCATGCCATTGCACTGCTGCCTGGTTGACACAGGGAGACCCTGTCTCGAAAAAAATAAAAATAGAAAACAAAAGGAAGAAACTGTGGTTTGATTAGTCAGAAGCATTCAAGTAATTCCTCCATGAGATTTTTCGCCTGGGTTTTTGGGCTTTATCTCTGAAGTATTTTCCAAACATGTATAATCCATGTGAATCACTGGCAATGCCTGTTAAACTACAGACTCTTAGGCCCCTCCCTTGATGAGGGATTCAGCTGGTCTAGGGTAGAGCCCAGGAATCTGTATATGTAACCCTATTCCAGTTGATTCTTAGAATTAGTCATGATTAAGGAACTGTTTTAGAGAATGTCTTCTTCAATGTGGTTTTAATTGCTAAGTAGGTTTACTTCTGTCGTATTTGTGTACATTAATTTGTCAAATTTCTACTAAGGGAGTAGGTTAGGACCCATAGAAAATGTTAAGGTTGATGCTTGTCATTTTTCTTCAAGGTCCTTAGACCAATAATACTGGCATCAAAAATAATCTTCAAACCAATTTGCTAGTTCGTAGTACTCATCACTGTGATTTCTACCCCACAGCCTCAGCATAGAAAGTAGGAAGTGAAATGAGCTATGCCCTTCTGGAGCCACCCCTTTCTGAAATGTTTTGATGGTAACTTCTCAGGCCTCCATTCCATCACTTTCTAATTGTGTGCCAGCCCAG